ATATATACACTTATATACACGTATATACAAGTATACATATATTCATATATACATGTATACATTTATACATGTATAGATATATACATGTATACATATATTCATATATACGTATATACATATATACAAATATAAATCATATATACATATATACATATATACATATATATATATATATAAATACATACATACAGACATATATATATATGTATATATATACGTACATAAATAATATATATATATATATCTATATATATACAGTGTTGTGTGGTTGTCTGTCTGTGTCTGTATATATTAGATATATATATATATATATATAATACGATATATATTACATATATAAATATACACACACACACACACACTCACACAACAACACACACACACAATATATATATTATTTATGTACATATATATACATACACACACACACACACACACATATACATACATATATATAAGATTTGTGTATGTGTATATGTATGTATGAATATTTTATACATAAAAATTGCTAACATTGGATTTTAGTATCAATATTAATACATATTCGAAAAGATATATACACTATATATATATATATATATATATATATATATTGATATTGTTTCTGTCTTCCTCTATGTATGTGTATGTGGAAATATACATTATATATATATATGTATGTATATATCGACATATTCTATATATATATATATATATATATATACATATTGATATATATATATATATATATATATATATATATTTATAGACAATTTCTATATAGACTCGCTTCAAGATTAAATGTTTTTATTATTATTGCTATTGATTCGAGCAATATATTGCTGGAAGAAATGCGGGCCTAGAAGTTGCCTACAAATCCCATCCACCTCTATTCGTATTTGTTGTATACGCCTCATAAATTGGTATGCCCGGAGTGAAGATTCTTCGTCGAATATATTATACCTGAAAGCCTGCGAATCTATGCGGCTGTAGTGGGGGCAACCACAGTTAATACAGGTGCCGTCTCGACTTCTCGGCGTCTACGGTGGCCGGCATGTTCGTCGACAACAACGGCCTCAGCGGTCCCATTGTATGGCCTGTTGAATGAAAGTACGTGTTGAGTCACATCGCCTGGCAAGGAAAATAGAGCTGCCTGTTTATGCGACTGTCAATCAAATTTGTCATCCTACTATCATCAAATGGTATATAAATGCACATACATACCCCATAGTTGAGTTGCCGGTGATCCATTCGTACACATCGCCGTCGCTGAGGGTTTGTACTGCCGGGAAGGGCATGGTTCCGGTTTGATTTGCTGGGAGGGTCAAATATATCTCGAAAACTTCGACAGCCCATGTCGGTACCTCGTACCCGTATACTGCTGTCCAAGTGATAGTATCGACGGTCTCGTTTACCATACTGCCATAGACTTCGACGTCGGGTACAAGTTCTCTCAGAGTGCGAGATACGCTGAAACCGTATACTGGACGAGGCTTGACCGAGTATGTGCCTTCCGGTAGAGTGACAGTAAACTACATGAAAATTTATGATATATGGGGAACAGGGATAAATACAAACTAGTACCTGAGTAGATTTGCATGCTAAGGTCCAAAAGAACGCCGTTGTAGAATTAGAAAGCGCAGCAATAAAAAGACATACCGCAACTGTCCCGGCTTCTTCACCACCATGGGGAAGTTTGAACCCCAGGTTAAAGTTCGACCCCATCTCGGCCTCATTCGGGATGAGGGCCACATGCGCACTAGTTGTGATCGTACACGCAAGAAGCGTGGCAACTGTCGCGAGAGTACTGGCAATCATGGTTTTAGTTTACTTGATATTAGAAAAACAAAGTTGTAAGCGAAAAGGATTACATATCCCCTCGGGCATTTATACTCCCCTACATCATAGCATCAAATATCGCCTTCCAATGACATAACCAACAGTCAAACTATACATGAACCAAAGTAAATAAAACTATAACCGGTAGTTTAAAGTACATGGCAAACGTGGCGCGTGTCCATGTGCGCAATCTTACTAGATAAGCACCGAACACGCCACGCGATATGTGACTAAATGACTGTCACAGTCTCGCAGATGTAGATCCTGCAGGGGTTCAGCTTGAAAACCGGTATTTACGGCGCAGTACTGAGTACATATGCCTCTTCACTTCGTCTAAGGACTTTTATTTTCATTTATACTATCTATGAGTATTGAGTATATACTTCAGTATGGGGGTTACTTTTTTATTATTAAATGCTCACCAAATTGATTTGCAGTAAAATGTAAATGATCAAAGCAGCGATGAGTGGACATATTCGTCGCATGCCGGCAGGACATTGCATCAAATTTTCATTGGCTTTGGATTCGGTGTTGCGCGAACCCTGTTGTTTCTAAGGAAAGTGAAAAAATGAATTGCGCAACAAACAGACGGGCTGAATACTCTCTTCGGCTTCAGTCATCGGGCAACTTTTGTTTTGTTTCGGGGGACTCAGTGATGAGTGGCTGTAATTTTAAAAATTTACCTTCGCGTCCACTGCTTATTTCGTATTTATTTATATTTATATATATCCTTGAGGACAAAAATAAAATGCCAATTTTTGTCCTCAATATGTTAGCACTTCCTACTATATTTTGACGGGCTCGGGGACAAAATTTCTCATTCCTCTACCATAAAAGCCTGACCCAATGAGACCTTTCGATCCGAGACAAACTCCAGGATATATATACATACATATATATATATATACATACATACATATATATAT